AGGCTGAATCCAGGAGGGCTGGGCTGTGGCCCAGCACCACTTTGGTGCATAAGAGCATGATGCATGCAGCTGTGTTCAAGCAAACGCATGTGGAGCCTAGTACTGAAGTACAAGGGGAGAATAATTCCTCCAGAGCACCCTCTGTCCCTGTGGCTGAGGCTGTAGTAGCGCTCCCAGGTGGATGTTTGCCAGGCTGCTGTGTTTGCAAGAGGGGGTGAGGGGTCTTAATTGCAGATCCTGTTTGGGTTTAAGAGCCCCTCTGAGTTCTCCAGGGAGAAGCCTTGCCTTTCCCTGGCCTTCCTGGGTGCAGGCTGTCCTTGCTGTGAGGCTGTAAGCAATGCTGGCTCTCCCTCCTCATCCTCTCCTTCTCATTCCAAACTGCCAAGCATGCGTATCCCCTGGGCAGTCTGGGTTTTAGGACACATACCAGTTGAAATAAAGGTACAGCCTTTGCAGGGGATCCAAGGTTAAATCATTCTTTCCTTTAGCTAGTACAAGAGATACACATACGTACCTGCAGTAATAATTGTTTACATTAAGTATTTTGCCTGTGTTTTCTTATCACTCTGTAGCTTTGGGGGGGAAATAGGTTAGTTTTTCTCAGTGTTGAGGCTACTTTTTCTACCAGCTTATAGCTGTAGAAGTTATACAGGCTTTTCTCATCTCCAGTTCCATTTACCACACAACATTTGGTCAGTTTGTTACATTAATTATTCTTTCACCACATCCATCTTAATTACTGCATGAGCTGAGGTCAAACTTGGCAATACTGGCATGTACCATACGACAGCCATGGGAGTACATAATGTTCAAGGGTTAACAACCTTTTCTTGTTAGCCTTTGATCTCCACCCTTTTGAAGGACAGAACAGGACAGAAGTTAAACAGCAGAATATTTCATTTTCAAATTACTTTAAGCTTGCCATCTACCAGAGGAGACAGTTTTGAGTATACTATGTAGATGCATTCCCTTGATCATCACATGTCAGCGCTTCTGGTGCTTCACCAGGAGAATTTTAGGTTAAGACTGGCCTGAACATCAATGTGAAACGACAGGTGTGTTGAGATAATGTGAAAATAATAACTCCTCCAGATGGCAGCAAGCTTTGTGTGAGGTGTTACGGCATTAAGGTGAAGATGAAGAGCACATTACTTTGGTCCCTCCTGTTGCACGATGCTAGTTTACAAAAGCACGGGCCTGCATGTAACATGGGAAGGCGGTTTCCTCTCCTGCAGAGCCAACACTACACAGACAATAGCTATTCTGCCCTGGCATGCGTGAGGTTTTGGGTTTTTGAGAGTTTTTACAACTAAGATGCTTGCCTTAGCAGGGAAATGGCCTTAATTCCTGACCACGTTATGGCTACTATGTGTGTGCGCTTACTGCCTCATGCAGGGCTTGGTGATTGGTCTGATGGAAACTTTCTGAAAAAAAATCTGGAACATGTAGGCTAGCAGGCTACCGGGGCAGGGTGGTGGAATGGAGTTAGAGTCAGAAAGGCAACAGAGAGGGAGGAGTGAGAAACATGAATGCCATCAGTGGAAGCGCGGCCATTGCAGGGGTTTGGGCAGACCACGCTGAACAGGGCAGAACGGGACCGGGTACGTTACTCACAGCTGTGCCACAGCGTGGCAGCCCCTCACTTTACGACACAGTGAGCATAACATAGGGCAGACCTATTGCCCAGGTCATGCGTTCTTGTGAGAAGGCTGTGAAAATGAGCCGCTGGTTAGCTGTTCTACAGCCAGTGCAACCAGGTACAGACAAATACCCATCACTGGATCTCCTCGGCCAGAACAGCTGGAGCATCTGCCTGGACTTCCCAATTAGCTCTGTGCCTCTCTGCAAAGCTGCAAGCAGGGTGACCCTACACCTGGTGGAAATCAGTGAGTGTTGCTGCACTCAGGACTCAACAGCAGCACAAGGGGTACTACAGTTGACAGGTAGGTGGCTGTTCTCCAGGCAACACAGAACAGCCTTCGAGTATTTGGTTTTACACTTGAGGATGCTCTGATTTTAATTTATTTTCATTAAGTAGCAAATAAACAGAAGCTGTGTTGCTGCGGTGCAAAGCCAAAGCTGTTTCCAAACCTCAAGTGGCCACATGCAGCTGGGAGGAGCGGTGGCCCTGCAGCCTAACCCCTGCCTACTTCGTTTTAAAATTTGGAAATGTCCCCCTGAGGCAAATTAAAGGTTATTTTATAAAGGTATAACAAAAACACCAAAGGGGGAATTTTAAAGGACATTTAGGATGCTGAGCTTGAAATAGGGATGTAAACGGCTTTTGAAAACTGCCTCTAAGCCTTAGCAACAGCAGTCCCAGCTCCCCCCCCGACCAGCCATACACCACCCACCCCCCTCCTCGCAGCTGTCTGCAGCTCCTGGGCTGTAGGATGTGCAGGGGTAACGAATGAGCCTCCACTGGGGATTGGGGCCCCCTCATGACAGGAGCTGTAAAGTCATGCCCAGCTTTAGTCCAAGGAGCTCGCAAGCCAAATACAAGATGGGGACACACACACGGCAGCAGGCTGGGAGCGCAGGGTGATGGCATAACAGAGGAGCTAAGTTCTCCATCCTTGGGGTGGGGAACAAAAAGACAATTGAAGACTGATTTTTGTAGGAAACCTCTGCCAATATTCTTTTTTAAACAAAGCTGAAGCAAATATAAACCTCTGGCACTTGCCAGCATCCTAACATGTCTTCTGAGGAGAGGCAACAAGATATGGCTGCAGTCTTCACAGAGCTGACACACAGCCAGTAAAGTTACTGAGGGTTCCCCATTTGTGCTTCCCACCTTGCTTTTTCCATGTGGGGATCCCAACCATAGCATCAAAGGAAAAAGTCTCACATGGAAGATGGAGCATCTGAAGGCTAAATAGGACAGCAGGTTTTGGCCTTATTGGTGTGGCTTGTGTACCTCATTCATTAGCTATGTATCCCATTCCCATCTAAACCACTCCTCCAGAGTGCTGGGTCTGGCCAGCAGCAGCCTGGCAGCTTCAGTACAGGACACAGGGACCGGATGATGTAGACTAAAAACTCGCTTTCCCACATGTGCTACAGCACAAGTAAATCTGAGAGTGATGATGAGTAAGACCATGGGTTTGTCTGCTAGATCCCCTGGGAGCATAGGCTGGCTCCAAACAAGCTTACAGACGTAGTCAAGGTTGTGGAAGACGAAGAAGATATCAGAGCTGAGATACCTGGGACTAGTCATCTCTGTAAAAGCTGTGATGGTGGGGAGATCAGATATACCTAAATGTGCAAATAATTTTTTTCTCCCAAAGACATAAAACCTAAACTCTTCAGTGGAGGCACCTCAACCTGCCAGTAACAGCAATTCATACCATTTCCTCCTTTAGGATCCCAGTGTTCAAACAATTGATCTAAGTCACCAATATACCCCTAACCGATAAAAACAAGCCACATAATGCTACAGCTGCAGGATGGGATTAAAGAACAGGACTGTAATAGGCATGAGGAATAAAAGTTTTCCATTGAAACCACCCAGGTTTTGTTCAGTCTTGAGATAAGAGGTCTAAGGTGCCATCATATTGCGACCTTCAGCTGTGCAATGGAGGGTACAGAGAAGATGGGGTCAGACTTTTCTCAGAAGGAAGCAGTGACACAACAAAAGGCAACGGATACAAGGTGAAGCATCAGAAATTCCAGTTAGACACGAAGGAAATTGTTTTTCGCTGTGAGGGTAATCACACACTGGACAGGCACAGGCTGCCCAAAGAGGCTATGGCTCTCCATTTGTAGCTCACCTGGAAACGGTCCTCTGCAACCTGGTCTAACAGGACCAGTTCTCAGCAGGGGCTGGCCCAGATGACCTCCAGACATCCCTTCCAACTGAATTACTGTGTGCTCCTTTGAATACTACCTGCCACTCACTATGGCAATCACCCTGAGAAATAGCATTACACTATACATTTTATTTATTTTTCAAAAAAAAAAATCTAAGTGTAAATCTACAGCAACAATGTTATTACACACCACTGGCAACCAGCACCATGTGCAATCACATTATATATGGCCATATAGGTCAAGGCTGTTTCTGCTGATAATGGAAAGGAGCAAGTATCTGCAAATCATTTTCCAGAGAAGTGGTTGTTACTGCACAATCACCACATCAGAACAGACAGGTACAGTGGAGGGTGACACA